ACGGAGCAATGCCGAGCATCCACTTAAATGTAAATTTTGCAAAGATGATACACTTTTGGTAAAATTTCACAACAGCAAAATAGATGGATTTAATGATCTTCTGAGTTATAGATGCAAAATGTGAGGAAAGGAGTAATGGGATGAATGTCGCCTATGACATTCTTCATCCTAGCGCACCTAGGGATAAAAATAAATAAAACGAAAAGGGAATTACTCGGTAGCTTAGTCTTCTTAGTATTGTCTTCCCATAAATAAAGATTTTACAATTAACTGTTTCGCAGCGCACTTCCAATGCTTTTGAGACAAAACACATTGGTTGGAGCACACATTCGCAACACATTGGTTGGAGCACACATTCGCAACACATTGGTTGGAAAGCACTACCTTAGGCAATCAGTACAATTGGTGTCTCGTATAATAAAGTATTTAAACCTATTAATAATTCACAGCAAAATATACCTTTATTTAATTGACGTTTGCAGTGGCGGATGGATTTATTAGGAATTCGGGAGCTGCCGCTGCTTGTGACGCTGCTTTATGGCCTGATATCAATGGTTTAAAATGCTGAAACATCAATCATAACTGTAGAACTCACGCAGCGGAAAACGATAAATTAATAGGAAGAAAAGGGTTAATAGGGTCGCTTTTTGCGATCTACTCGACAGAGAGCGAGTCTGATGTCATCGTCTCGATCATTACAGAGATCGACGCGTCGGAAAATTTTCCGTCATCTGGACAGCTGCCGTTTAAGTGCTGACTGTCGTTTAGAGCTAACTGAGGACGGCGGAGGCACGGATGTTTTTTGAAATTACGTAATAGAATTTTAATTTCTTAAGATTTGTGAAAAACTCGAGTATTTCGCTATAAAATAAGCATTTGATGCTGACATTCTAATTATTTATTTATTCTACATTACCAATGCCTTAATTAAATTTTAGTAAAATAATATATTTGTTTTTCCTATTTCAAGATAAAGAAGGGGTGCATACTTTTAATTTAAAATTGTAATTTTTAAACTAATGTACTTAATTAATCAATGTAATTAATTTCATGTTTTGATGAGTAATTTATAAATTTTGAAATTTTATGTTTTAAATTACCGTAATTTCCGGAAGAAAGGCTGCATCAGCGTAAACGCCGCACTCGAGAAAAATGGCGGGAAAAAAATTAAAATTACACAGAAACGCCGCAATAGATTAAATTGCGCGTGACATTTTAAAATGTGATCAAGGTGACATCGTCGTGGGCCGTATAGATGCAAAAACTCAACCTAAGTCCTGATATTGACATACCAGTTAAGAAAAATCATGAAATGAAACATAACTCAAAAATAAATTAAAGGAGAAATGATAGCTTCTGTCCGTTTAGAGACATTTTCAAAATTTTCGCTCCCTTCTTACTTAAAAATATTCAACAGTACTTGTCCAAACGATGGATCTGTATTTGGAAAGAAAGAAAGCCAAGAAAAATCCATTCATGCAAGGGAAATACGTCAGAGTTCGTTATTGCGAGCAGGTGGAGTGTATCCGCCGTTTAAAAAAATTGCAGAAAAGGCAGGGGTGGGAGAGGATGGGTCTGGAAGATTCCATCGAATCACAGAGGAGAGAGACTATTCAACTGATGAGAAGTTGATTTGAAAGGGGGCAAATGTTATTGTTCTGAGATCTCGTTTAGGGTGAAAAGGCTGTAGGCCCGTTCAAAGGACAGAATGTAAACAAATAACGTTCGCAAAAAGCAACTGGTGGTCTTTTGTGTTGGGAACAGCACCAGTCTATGCACAATGACAAGGCCATCCAAACTGTACAATGACCATCATAGGAATATTTTTTTCAGTGCACCTAAACCGCATGGGTAGAAACGTCGCACCCGCTGAAAATTTAAGTTTTAAATATGTAAACGCCGCGGCGTTTCTTCCGGAAATTACGGTATAATATATTTTCCTCTACTTTTATTTGAATTTGTAGTGTACAAAAATATAATACATTAGACATGCATTAAAGAAGATGCAGTATGTAATTCAAACTATGCACATCCTTTAATTCAACATTTACATTAAATTGCTTTGAGTTAAAAATTTATTTAAGTAGTTTTAACTGTCCCGAATCAATGTCAATTTCCAATGTTCTAGAATCTCCTGTAACAAGTTAAATTCCTGTAAAATTGTTGGTTAATTCTTGCAATATTATAATGCAAAATTATAATTAGTTATCAGATTTTTAATGGGGTCTATTTTAATATTACATCAGTTTTGTGTTATTTATTCAGATAAAAAAAGTGCTTAGTTTTGGTTTTATGTAATACGGAAAGCTCGAGGGCTATCTGCCTAAAGTGAGGGTTGCCTCGTGGAGGACATTCTAAGGAAAAACTAGCTGGTACACGTAAACATGGGCAAAACCACGAAAACGTCATGCAACCAGCCCGTATCGGATTCCAACCTTGGACCGAACTTCTAGTGTTCAGCTTTTACCGGCCGTGGTGGGATCGATTTAAAAAGGGTATAATATATATGTACTGCAATTTCTTTCACGCATCTGTTTATATATTATACAGTTTTTATATATATATTTACAACAGATTTTCTGTGGCCTTAAACTTCTATGCTTCTGGAAGTTACCAATGATATGACAATCATTGGTAATGACGCCCATGCGTCTAGCCCGTTTTGCGGGATTCGAACTCGGACCGCACTACCAGTGTTCGGAGATTTTACCGCTCGCCCTAGTGGGATCGACTTAAAAAGGGCATAAATAGAACATGTACTGCAATTTCCTTTCACTGCGTATATTAATATATTATAATATAATATATATACTATAGTTATTATTTAAAACAGTTTTGTATGCCTTAATTTTTTATCCTTTTGGAAATTACGAGAAATATGTTGGTAATGACAGATATATTGGTTATCAGAGATATGTTAGTAATGTAACAAACCCGTTCGCAGTATCTGGACCTCGGACCGAACTACTAGTGGTTAGCAGTTTTACAACACGGTCACTGGTGGGATCGATTTAAAAAGGGATAAATAGGAATATGTATTGCAATTTCCTTTCAATGCATATGTTAATATATACGTGTGTGTATGCGTGCAAGATAATATGTTTTATGATTTAACCCATAGTTATTTAATTGTTTTTATTTTTCTTCCTATTGCTTTTGTTAGAAGTTTGTTATATTTTTACTCACTGCTTATTGGTATCTACGATACATAGTATATTTGTAGCTACGTGATAGGTATAATTTCTGTATAAATAAAATTATTGATGTAATCATGGGTTGCTAAAAATTAAAATTTTTTCATTCAAATTCATTAGGAATATTAAGCACACGTACGCGGTGCTATATTTCAATGCTTTGACTTATGACGTTGTTGCATAACCTTTTCAGACAAAATAATGTAATTTAGTCATAAAATTCCTGTTAACAAATAGTTTACAAACATGTAACCTTTTAGAAAATTTCCATTTTGCAAAAGATCATACGTAATTATTTTACGTTTCTTCACATACCTGAAGTTTTGAAAAGGCCATTTCTTTCCGCGTTTAAAATATCCATTAACGTTCCATTCTTTTTTCCATACTCTTTACTAAATCCAGCAGCGTATTTTTTCGAAAAATTTCACCATTTACTCGAACTCGATTTTTTTTTCTACCGCCATCCCAGTAATGCACGTGCCAACAGCCTCTTTCACAACAAACTACCCCCTTTCCCTGAGCCTGGAGCAATGTAGAGGTGAGATAGACTGGTTGCTATGCAATAAACGTCCCTTCCGCACGGAATTCCACTTCACTTTCCGCCGAAGGAATTTGAAGGGGCCAGACTCGCTCTCCCTTCTGCTGTCGAGTGGAAAGAGAATCCCGACTGGCTTTCCGATATCGATCTCGACCGGTGTCCAGACTAGACACCTTAATGTCGGTTGAAAAATATCGAAAGATAAACTAATGGTAACCTTATTAAAATCAATAGCTTAACCCCGCCGTTTTTAGCTCATCGCAAATTCATAATCTTTGGATCTAATCCATTGCATAAAAGCGAAGAATTTTCATGTTCGATCATCTGAATTATTTCATAAAATGTTATAAAGATGCCAGAACCTTTATGCAAGTAGACAATTGTTCGCCGAGGTTAAGACTTTTATATGAGTATCACAAATCCTTGACAAGGATGAGTTCCTTCATGATCCCAGACTTTATAAGAGTGCTGACTCAATTGTGCTTTTATGGCAGGGTTTTTGGTGACTGAAAAGGTGACTGCACATTTGTGCAAGTCGGCAGTTGTTTGCCAAGATTAAGACTTTCACATGAGCTTCCTGGCAGCTTTGATGAGGTCTGCTTTTCTTACAATACCAAACTTCATAATGCTGGCACCTATGTCGTTGGCGAAGTACGCGTAACTTAAATATATTTTTCAAGACGCAGGAATTTTTTTCGTCACGCGCCGGCTGGTTACACCAATCCCGTCCGCTCCTGGTCATTTTTGAGAGCAACTTAACTAGCAACGTACGAACATCGATGCCCCGATTGCCTCTTTAAGCATATTTATCATTTTTTATTAGGAACGGAATAACATTATCATTTTTATCAAATCGACTGGACGGCCAGGAAATGTTAGAGGAAAAACAAATGAGGCGTAGATGATCATTCTATTTTGAAATCTGTAATAAAAATTTAGCAATTCATGTTTTCTTCGTTTGTTTTAGGATGTTTCTGAACTGATATGGTGATGTTTATTTTTAATTAAATAAATTCTGATGCACATTTGAAATTCACTTTGTCATGTGTTTCAAGTAACACATTTAAAAAACTTTTTGGAAAAGTAAATACTAAGAGAATCATGGTTTCATTTTCCTAGCTTTTAGAGTAGGGAATTTTCCAGCTAAACTGAAATTATGAGGGATTATTTATGGCAGAATAGGGAAAAGTAAGCTCCTGGCAACACAGTTAAACTTAAGCATGTGTTTTTGTTGATGTCAGCAATGGTCAGCATGTTTTTGAGTTTACTGTGATTTGAAAGCGATCGTAGAAGCTGACAAACTAAATAAACTCTTGTAGATGCCGGTAGCTTTGTAATGAATCGAGCGAATTCTGTATAAATCACACATTAATGCATAATTAATTATGCATAGGCGAAAAGACAAAACTTAGAAATAACTTAAATCATTTAGAGCAATCTACTTGAACTTAAGTTTCAGAATGAGTGAAAACAGTTTCGCATCCAAACTTTTTGGAAAATTTCATACACACGGCCAGGAATCGGTCTGTAGTAATAAACAAATCGATAGAAATTATAATTTTAAGGAAGATCTTCCAGATGGATCATGTTTCAGTCGAGTTTTAAAAATTGAACCTCATTCTAATATGAATTATGAATCTGCTATTAAAAAGTGTGAGGTGAGTAGCAGTATATTATTTTTTGTATGGCGTGAGTACTCTTAATACTTTCTTAATATTTAAAGGGGGAGTTTCAAGTTGTTGGTTATGTAGTTGGCTATGATTTGTGTTGCAAGGCAGTTTGATATTTTTTGTTAACCACCTTAGCATCATATTTGTAATTTTCATGCTAATATTCAAGGGAGTATTTATCTAAAAACCTCACCTTAGTAGAAACTATTTTTGAAAGCTTAATACTCAGAATATAAATAATGATTTATGATAAGTATATATCTAGGTGGGCTGTTTTATGGTGCTTAAGTTAATCACATTTATTGTTTTGAACATGAGATAATATAAAGTTTTTTGGTCGTAGGCTTGTCATATAATTTTTCTTACTATATGACAAAAAAGTGTAATATAAAATTTGACTAAGCTTTTGTTAGTTAGAATTTGGAGACTGTTGATAGGTTTCTCGTTACTTGATGTGCTGAATGTAAGAGTTCTGATGTAACTGAGAGTTATCTGACCTTAGAAATTAAAGCATTTATGTATGACCTTTTATAAATTAAAATACACCAAAATAAAACTGCCTACAAATGATCTTTTTGCTGTATGAAGCAATAGAACATGTTTTCACGAAATTGCAGAAAAATTTTTCTCACTGAAATTTTTGTCAAAAATAAATTCATATGGGAATTTTTTTAAAAGTATTTCTAGGCCTTTAAAATTAACTGATGAATGATATCAGTAGTGAAGTATGAAACCTAAATGATCTAGATTGGTGTGATAAGTATAGTGCGAAATGATCGGAAATACTATATATAATTTAGTTTTCCCTTCCCAAGACAGGGAGTTCAGTGGAAGATGTATAGGTAATGGCAGTGAGGATGGTATGTCTCTGGAGACTCTTCTGAGGTCAGTAGTAGAAGCTTCACAAGACTATACTGTGAGAAAGAGATTATTATCACATTTAGCCATTGGGTTTTTACAGTTTCTCTGCATTCTTTTCCTACTTTATATGTCAAGGTTTTTTGCTTATTCTGGCCAATGTAAAAGGCTTGAAATTTGGCAACCTGCTTGGCTAGTTAATTTAACAATACTTATTTAACAATTTAAAAGTACTGCTATTCATCAAAAATTAGAACATCCTGAAGAACTGCTTTAAATCATTGTGGTCTTCCGTAGTTGCTGTTTGAAGGAAAGTAATACTTTTCTTCAAATATTGCATAAAACAAATAATGAATTATGTTTTTTCCCTTTTCCCCCTTTCTTCATAAATATAAATACTTTCTTCAGAGTTCTTTCATAAACTGAAAAGCTAATAAAGTAGGTCTTTTATGCAAATGAAGTGGCATAAGTTGGAGGATATACATATTGTTTGATGCTATCATAATTTGAATAGACTGTTAAAAACTTGGGTATTTTAATGTGACTTGTAGTGGAATGTTTTTTAAATTCAGTGTATATTCAACAGGATAATAATACGAACTATAAGATTTCATTTTCTTAATGCTAAATCTATTATATGGCTCTAAACATCACTTATTTAAAAGTACTGAAGTTTTGTTCTGGATGTTTGTAATCTTCTAACAGAAATTAATTTTTGCTGGAAAGATTCATAATCCAGAAAGCTACGTTACCTCTTCTTTTATATTTGAATGTTTTAATATTAATCCTCTCTAATATTTATCTTTCTATATATGTAGTGAAACCTTCTTAAGGTGCTGAAATTATTTTCTTGAGTATCTGTCTCTGGAAACAAAAGCAGCTGTCATATGAGTGAGCACAGAGGCAAACAGACTGTGGATGGCAGTTTGGGATATTACAATGGTACTTACGTATTATCGCAACCAGGTTGGCGCTATTTGTAACTTTGAGTAAAAAGTATGAATAGAAAGAAAATGTACATTTATTAATTACAGATAATTTTAACGTTTTTATATTATTTTGTTTTAAAATATAAATAGAATTAAACCCTTCCGGTTTCGAATTTATAATTTGAACCCTACTTACGGCAACCCTACGTTATACGTTTTTTCAAAAAGAGCATGTGGAGATTCACAACATTTTCGTGCAAATTTTTTGTAATTTATGAGAAATAGTAGTGTCATGGATAAAGTCAAGAGTGTGCACAATGCCATTTTTGTGCAATTCTGGGATTTTTTTTAAGTAAAAATAATCGACGTGTACATGGTTAGGCAGAACGTTTTCAATCCAGTGAAAGCAATAGCCAAAAGATTCTGCGAAAAAAAATTCTGCAACTTATTCAATTCGAACCGGAAAGGTTTATAAGTGCAGAATTATTTTTACAAAACTACGTACACGTAGGGTTGCCGTAAGTAGGGTCGCCAAATTTGGCAATTTATGCGAATTTTGGCCTGGTTGCGTTAATACGTAAGTACCATTACAATATATATGTTTTGTCCCAGAGTTCATCTGTTGTACTGTCTTGAGATTGGTAGGGATTGTCATGCCAGTCTGTCTTAAAAAAATTCTACCTTTCATTAAGATAATCAGTGGCTTCTATCTCTCTTGACCCATTTCTTATTTCTCACTCTGAGTTTAAAGTTTTATTCCTTTCAAAAAATTTTTGATTCAAGTGGTATTTTAGTAAAAATGCACAGAAATAGATAATATTTAAGTATACTGTAAAGTTATGTATGAATTTAATCTTTATAATGTCTAATTAATATGCATACTTAAATTATTTATTAATATTTAAGTAATATAAACAAGGAAGTGCTTCTGTTTATGAAGCTTTTAGAAAATTTTTCTTGCTGTTATGAGATTTCGACTACACCATATCTGAGCTTTACTTTGAACCTTTTGTTACAGTTTGACTTTATACCTGTTTAAAGTCATACACACTGAGAAATTCTGTTAAACATGATTAGTGCTTAATGGTTAGTGATTATCTGTGGTTTTTTTCGGAATTTTTTTCCATATGGACCACACTGACTAACTGTGTGGATATTATCATAGTTGTTCTATGTGTAATGTAAATATGAGCCAATTAACCATAGAATGTCCTTGAGGGTGTCCTTTCCCTCAGGTAGAAATCTTGTCATCAATCATAATTTACATTTTCAACCATATTTAGAGATGATATTATATGTTGTAGTTTTGTCTCTTTTAAATATTCTTTGTACTTATATATTTAAGAATGTGAATTGATATTGAACTGAAGAATCTCAGCATTTTATGTTGCAATGATTACTTTTATTTGTGATCTGTTGTGTATGGTTATTTAACTAACATTTATAATGTACCTGCTAAGCTGTTATCACAAGCGACAACTAAATAAAAGTATACAGTACAAAGTCTTTAATCCGGACTCGTCGAGACTTTGGCGATTCTGGATTAGGGGTTTTTCCGGATTATGGATCATCAATTTAAATCTGGTAAGATGACATGTAGAAATTATAAAATTAAAAGTACGAAACCATAATTTATGAAATAAAGAGCAATCATGATCTAAAGGATATCAAATTAAAAAAAAAAAAAAAAAAAAGCTTAATATTTATTTGTTTACTTTATAAACATTTCTTTCAATGTAAGTGTTTAGTTGTTTTGTTTATGTGCTAAAACTTTCTCTTTTTCTATAAACAGACATATTTCTTGTTCATTACAAGTTTCGCTGTTCAGTCCTGTATGCTGGCCGAGAATACCACTACTTGTCATCGAAATTTTTTTCGTTTTCACAACCCTCTGTCACTTCTCATGCATTTATCCATTTTTTTGCAGCAATTCCACTTTTTGTTTGATGGACATCAAAACATGCTTTCACTTTGTAGATCCTTTGGTAACTCCATCATCGGATTAGTAAATATATATCAGGAATTCTATTTGACATATTCGAAAGTTCTAGCTTACTTTTTATAAAATTGCTCTAACAGTCTGCAAAAAATAATAAGCCGGATCCAATTAGAAGATCAAGAAACAACACAATCTGCAACATTAACTGAAATAGATAATTAGATAATTTTAGCCTAGTTTATACCATCTGTTATACATTAAACGTGCATGCGTAAATGTATTATGTGCATGCGTAAAGGTATTATGTGCGTGCATAAACGCATATGCACGTGCATAAACACTGCACATGTGCAGAAAGTTTGTAGCTTTGAGGTCCGGATTATAGATCATTCTGGATTATGGACGTCCAGATTAAAGACTTTGTACTGCATTTCATTTTGAGTTATGCATTTAGTTTATATGTTTTTTCAACTTATGTTGTCCACCTGCCAAGCAATATAGTGATTAGTGATGCTGACTGCTGAATCGATGGGCCTAGGTTCAAGTCCTGGAGAGGGTATAGATGTTTGTAAGCATATAGTGTCTGTGTAGCATGGTTAGTCATGGCGAGCTGAAAGTCTTCTTGAGAGGTTGAGAATAGGGAAAGAGGGCTGGGAGACCCATGGAATGCCCCCAGGAGTTCTACCTCAAAATTGGAATGTAAACTGAACAGTTACTAAGGCCGAAAGGTAATTAAGATATAGCTATGGGAATGCACAGGTACCAGCCTTGCTTCAACTTGTATCTGTACTGGTCACCTATTATGTGATTATGATACTGCACACATTGGTATCTGCCAAAGGGAGAGATGCCTCATTAGGTCTTTTAAGGCAAACTGGCTTGTTTCCATATTGCAGATGGGAGAAAACCACAAAAAGGCTCATGCAGACAGTCCATTTTGGGGAATTCGAAACCCGAACCAAACTACTGGTGTGAGCTATTTTACTGCTTGGCTATTGGTGGGAATACTGGTCACGTAGAGTATGAAACATGTAATCCATTTAGTAAATTTAAGCATAGTAATCGAACTCTTAATTATTGACTGTATTTAAAGATGTCTGCATGTTAGATTTCAGTAATGAAATTAAAAAAAAAGTTTTTATTGGGTTTTAATGAAAGTTTCCCACCACCGCAGATATCGTCTGCACAAACAGTTTGTGTTGGCATGTTTAATCATATTTTGTCAAATGATTTTTGGCATTTGAAAGAAAGAGATTTACTTCAGAACACTGTGTTGTAAAATTTATTAAAAAAATATTGTTATCATTAAGTACAAGGTGTCTGAAGTGGAAGCAGATTAGAACCATCATTTACTTCCATTTCTTTTGAAAACTGTCAGCTACAGAATATCATGTGCAGAGCTTTAGGTACTAATGTTGTATCATATGACACTGTGAAGTTTGGTACCAAAAGTTCAAAAGCAACGACTGTGACATTCAAAAAGCAGAGCACTCTGGCCAGCCTACTGACCTTGATGAGGTCCACCTGCGGGAACGTGTGGAAGAAAATCAATATGCAACCACTCGAGAGCTTGCTAAGGAGTTAGACACTAGTGCCATGTCCATTAGTCGCACTGTGCATTGTGTAAACTTGATGTACAAGTTCAATTGCTAGGTGACTCAAGCAGATAAGGACAAGCATGTTTGAGCCTGCACTAATCTGTTCATATCAATGCAAGGACCAAATTCGGGACTGGATTGTCACTTGTGAGATGAAAAGTGGATTTACTTTAGCAAAAGAGGGTTAACCCACTGGCAGTGTCACAAAGTGCAATTTGATTAACAAAAAGATCATGCTTTGCATCTAGTGGAATTGCTGTGGTATTGTATGCAAAGAGTATCTGTAAAAATGTAAAACCTCAACAATAAGGTGTACAGCAAGATGCTAGTCCATGTTGACAATGCTGTCACGGAAAATCATCAAACTGAGTTCCATTGCAAAAGGGTAATGTTCCATCAAGATAATGCAAGACCACATATGTCTGCATTCACTCGCTGGACTCTGTGTGGACTCAAAAGGGATCTTTTGCCACATGCACTACATAGCTTCGACATCGCTCGTTCGGATTTCTTCCTTTTTTCACACCTGCAACTACATCTTGCTGGTGCTATCTTCCATTTTGCACATCACGTTCAAAATGAGGTTGATCTGTTTTTGGAATCTTAACTACCAAGTTTGCTGAAGGCTTTGAAAAACTACCGAAACATTGGCAGAAAAACATAGATTTGGGTGGTGATTACTACCCACACTAAAGATACTGTTTTCATGTTGTTTTCCCTAACTTTATTAAGAATGTTTTTTGGTGGAAAACTTTTGTTCTAACCAGATATTATTCAGCCATAACGTGAAATGTCAGATTAACAAAATGGTGACATCAGGTGCTAATTAGCCAAATAAAAGTTTTCAGGTTAGAAACTTCTGTAGCTTAACTTTTCTGTTTTTGTGAGTATGTTACATGACATTATACTATCAGGACATTTGTTATTCACATTGCTTTGCACCACAAGGGATGAAGTTTTACTTTCTCATCCATGTGGCCTACCAAACTGCCAGTTTTCAGAGGTGATATTGTTCAGTGTGCTATAAAATTTGTAATTATTCTGTTCAAGTTAAAAATCTTATAATTGCGTAACTCATGAAGAAATTTAAAAGCAATATACACACTTTTTACTAATTTTTATCTTTTTTTTTCTTTTTTAAATAATGTCTGTAATTGATGTAATTCATAATATGTGCTTTGTGATGTAAGTAACTGATTATTTTTTTTAAATATGTGCATATTTATTTTAATTTACTTTAATTTAAAGTAATTCTAATTCCTTCTATTACACATCTTGATTGTGAGAAAAATATTTGCAAGCCACTTAATGCACTTTTTTTAAAGGCTTGTCAGTCATCTCAAGAACTAAGATGAAATATGATTCTAATTTCACAGTATTAAATTATATATGTATATATATTTAAAGAGAAAGCAAACTGTTACTAAAGAATGTTATATTGCCAAGCAGTCTGATTTAAATCTCATGGAGATTTTCTGATATATTTCAGTTTTTGTTAATTTTGTAAAGCTTAATATAACTGCAAAATTTTGTTGATTCTTGAAAGCTAATATGAGAAGTGTTGATATTTATTCTTCATTAACAAAATGTAAAATCCACATTTTGCACATCTGAGAGCAAATGTGGTATTTATATATAAATAATATTTTATATCTGGGATGTAAAATGTCTACTATGAGATAATGGCTTTAACAGAAATGAAAGTTGTATAGTTCTGATAGAAACATCAGCAATCTAGTCTTCCCAGTTTCCATGCTATGTTATATTATGCTTCTGCAGCTTTAATCATCTGCATAGCCTGGTAAATCAGCAGCTCTTGCAGCTGTTGTCTTTCATCCTATAGAAAGACTTAATTTTTTTCCCTGTCTAGTTTCCAATTCTAAGATTGTTGCCAAACTTCGAGGGAAGATTTCAGATTTATCTTTCGGATTATAAATGTGCATTGCATACAGGGCGATGTTTTTCACAATTAAAAGTAATATTCGTACTTCATAGTAATTTTTTGATCCTTTTCTCTGCAGACAGTGCATACCAAACAATTTTCTATAGAAAGATATTTGGCCGAGCGTAACTAGTAATATTTCATTTGATTTCTTTATACACGAATTGTTGCCTAAGCCATTCTAAAAGTAATCAGAAATTTGTTTTCCTCCTCATTGTCTTATAATGAAAAAGAGCCCTATTTCAATAGGATTTTTGATAATATATTTTCTTGATATAATTTATAATATACCTACTGATAATTTTCATAAATACATCACAAATATAGTGAAGTTTTACATCATAATTTCATGAAAGAAAAATAGGACTATAAGAAATTACCAATAATTTTTCACACGCCTAAAATATGAGATCGTGGCCAGTAATAAGGCTTTTTTCTTGAGAGCTTTATGTAATTGCGCTCAGCCTTAACCATTTAACCAGTTTAAATCATTAATATTTTCCACTTATTTCATTTAATATCATGTTTCACATATTTGAAAAATTTTGTATAATTATTTAATATTACATATATGTCAATGCCCTTTTTTACGTATTTTGCTGTGAATTCAGTGTATAACTGGTGTATTAAATTCCTGGGCTGTCTATTTTGGTATAGAGCTTAAAATGCTGTGAATAATTTTCATGGATATAATTCAATAGTAGATCTATTAGTTTGGAAACTGCTTTTGGCATATCATGGAAAATATTGAGTAGTTATCCTGAATATTGATATATTATATAGAAGAATGATATTTTTTTGTGTACTAGCTTCTTTTAAACTATGAGTAATTTAAATGCTTTTCATGTGTAATAAATCATTCAGTTAATATAAATCATGCAATGCTAACAGTAATTACTGGCATTGTAAAGAAGAGCAAAACAAAACTAGACATATTTAGAAATTTATGCATTATGTATTTTAATATATGAAATTTATAGTAATTTTCTAGCAAGTTGTTAGAATGTTTCTAAATGCTAATAAAAATATTTAATATTGCTATGACAAGAAGAATTTCACCTCTCAAATCAGAGGTAGTTAATGTTAAAGGATATTCGTATTTTATTAGCATTTTACATATCTGAAAAAGGTTATTAAAATGAATATAATCTGTTCAGCCAGTAAACTAATATTCTGTTTTAACTCTGAGGAGTAAGAACTAATTTTTCAAGATTGTGATTTTTCTTTCTTGTAATTATCTTATTTATAAAGATTTGAAAAAAGTAGAGACTTCAAAGCAAATAAAAGTCAATGTTGTGCTTTAATTTGGTTAACTTTGTCGTAAAGTATTTTAAAATTGACTGCCTTTGTCACTTGCATCTGACTTTCTGCCCCTTTATAATATGTTATAAATTTTTTCTGTGCTTTCTTCTTACTTATAATCCTCTTTTATAGAGGTCTGTTATCCCTCTGCTCATTTCATCTCACTAAACTGTGAAACATAAATCATGAACCATAGATCTGTAGAATTTGTGTACTGATTGGTGGTTATTGTGCACAAATAAGTATGATTTAAAATATAATCAGAGATTTATTTGTGCCTTCTTTAAGTTAAGTAATTTAGGGGAAAAGGTAGGTAAGTCTGACATTCTGATAGCAATATGTGCAAGTATATTTTATTATATGTAGAAATACAATAAATCTGTCATTTTAAGGGACCTGACTTGCTGTTAATGTGAAATTTAATTAGTTGTTCTAGCCTACATTATGAAATTATTAATTACATAGATAAAGCCACAAAATATATAATCAGAAAATTCTTCTCAGAGCTTTATAAAAACTAAAGACATAGATCAAACCAAATAATATCTCATCCAGTACTTAATGAATTTTGTTCAGTATTTTATTTATAACTGCAGTTTGTAGCTTATACAGCATACATGTTTGTGTAATTAGCTGTTTGCAATTTAAATTTCTCTTTCTTTCCCTGAAATGAGTGAGGGTTTGGAACAGGAAGGAAGAGTATTTTAAACTAAAGGTGTGAAATTGTTGATATAAATGATGAAACTTCAGATCCTTAAAATTCATTTTGTGATTTCAGTATTTATAATGATTTTTATCTCATCTTATATACTGTGCTATCTAAAATTCATTTTGTATTGTTTATTAATCTTAAGTGTTAATTATTTTTTTGCCTTTAGTATGTTGGAAGTTTTCCTGTTTCTGGCAATGATCATAATACAAGAACCGAATTTGTCAGAGCTCAACTAAAACAAATGAGAGTAAGTAATTTTAGCATAATATGCAGAAGTGTTAAGCAAAAAAGTCTTGTGTTTAGTATATCTTTTTTAAGTGAAAAATAAAATCCTTGCTTTTTATGTGCAGAATTGTCAGGTTATTTTCTAGAAGACTTTTGGGATGTTGGTATTCATATTACTATTAATCTAAAAAATTATACCTTTATGATTATATTTTTAATGTAATTTTTTCCTCTTCCACATTATTATTTTTATATAGCTTGTGCTGAAAAACAGCTAATTAGACTTCTGTACTCAAAAGTCATGTTTTAATATAAGCTAGTATTATAGGAAAAAAAAAATATAGAAAGAAAGGATGATGGGACTCGGTTTTCTGCCAGAAAAGAAGATATAACTAAAGAAGGAAAAGTTTTTAGAATTAAAATGAACAAAGAAGACATAAAAGTAGAAATTTTAGAATAAAGGCAGAAAACATGTGTTTTTATTTCACTAATATCTTTAATAATTATTAAATGAATAATTATTGTAAACAATATACACCTAATTCTATTTTTACGAGAGTTCAATGTAACATAAATTTCACAATAAATGCTGCATTCTCTTCTTAAGCATACCATTTTTATTTAACATCAGTAAGCCAATCCAATTTCTAAGAATTTACTTTTGCTGAAATTCTACAAAAAACAAATTTGTTTTGAACCATTACAGTACAACAGCTAAGTGGAGGAGAATGAAATGTCTCCTCATGGTGAGTAGTAAGTCACGTGACTAAATGTATTAGTTTCTTTATTTGTTTCTAAGGTGTGTGTATTTAGAAGTCAAGTTTGAATCCAACAATTTGTAAAAATATTTCCAATGTGAAAAAAATCTTTAGTGTGAAATTTGTGCACATATAAATTTACAAATTTTTCATATTGTATTTTATTAATAATAAAGGAAATATTTTTCGGTATTTTGAAGATGGAGGATATACTCCTGATTAAGTGCAGAATGCAGATGAATGTGGTCTCTTCTGGAAACAAATGCTGAACAAAACATATGTAGCCAAAATGCAGGAAACAACTTTTGGTAAAGTAACTGTGGATGGTGTGACTTAATTACCCTGCTGCAATGCTCCAGAAGATCATTTCTTGAAACCACTGCTGGGAAGTTGTGCTTTAAACACAAATACAATGAAAAGTGTAGATATCAATAAACTGTCTATTCACTGGATGGCAAACAAGCAGACCTTGGTGACCACTGCTATCTGTACTGAATGGTTCAATGAATGTTTCGTCCCAAAAGTCAGACCTTCTTATATGGATGTGAATGGTCTCAAATTTAAATTTCTTATGTTTCTTGACAATGCACTTATCCATCCTGTCTTAAAACACTCAAACGTTGAAATTTTATTTCTGTTTGTAATTCTGCATCTTTGTTACAACTGCTAGATGAAGGTATAATTGTTACACTTGAAGCATACTATGTAAAACAAATGTTCCAGCATGTTTTAGACAAATTGAATGACGGAACACTGTCAGTCATATAGATCTGAAAGAATTTCTGAGTTATGGATTTTATCAGTAAAGTTAGATTAGCATTGAGTGAAATAAGACCAACAACTTTGAAATGATGTTGTAAAGTGTTTGACTACAGTGTGTAAAAAGCAAAGATTCCATGATCCTGGATACAATTGAATGTCTCAGCATCATTACATTGATACAAACAGTTGGTAGAGAAAGGTTCAATGACCTATCGCTTGAAGATATTGAATTGTTAATTGACAAAGCCCTAGAAATATTACAGTTTGTCCTTGAGGCTTCTAATCCCAAAGAAAGTAGTGCTAATGAAGAAAATGATCCAGTTCTAAATGCACATTTAATAAAAGAAAGTCTGCGATTGGTCAGGAATATCATTTTGTTGAACATGCCCATAATATGGAATGTGCTATGAAGTTTTTGCATAAAATAAAGTTGCTGAAAACCTCATACAGAGAATTATATAATGGCCTAACCAAAACATGAACATAATGATTAATAATTGAATTCGTTCCTAAAGCCAGTGAAACATAATACAATAGGAGACCTTGGGCTGACTTTGATCAAGAGAGCACAAAAGGAATTTCATCAACAGAGAAAGAAAAGGATGTCCATAACATTTCTAGTGATAGCAGTGATATTCCAGTTATATGCAAACATATGCACAGTTTATTGCCAGAAAGTGTAAATGAGTGAAATCTTGTTATGCACAATGCAGTTTTTTATTTTTTTGTTCATGAAAAATTTTGTCCATTTCAAATGTAAATTTACTGTAATGCATTTTCATTACATATTGTTGCATGTATATTTTGTTAAAACAAGCTTAAAAAAATATTTTCAGGTGGTTTCTTTTAAAATTATTTTTGTTGATTATTTAGATCTGAAATGAATCCCATTTTCTTTCATAGATAGAATGTCATTTTTTACATGTTTTTTTTAACCCATATTCTTCAGAAATGTAGCTATCGTGTAAAAATAGAATTAGGTGTACACTTACAGTTATATATGTAGAGACACAACTGAATTGCATGCACATAAAGCAATCAGAGTGGAAAAAAATCAATAGCTTTTTGAAGCGAAATTCTAGCCTTGATATGATACTGATAAAATGTGAAGATCACTAATCAGAAATTACTTATTTTGCATATTAAATGCCATTTTATATTGATAACTTATAAATTACTCAGATGACAAGTTTTTAACTAATTCCCCAATCAGATGATTAAAATATTACATTATTACATGAACTTCCAATTTATTTTGCTTCTGACTTTTGCATTGTTTAAAATTATTATAAATTATTTAGTAACTGCTGAATAATTTTATGATTACTAGATTTTGGATCATAAGTGTACTTTCTGATTGTCTGCGCTCCCACAAAAAAATTGCCAACTCCTTGATGATTTTGTGAATTGGTGGAAAATATTCATTTTATTAACTTGATGGCTCATTGTTATTGTTCTGTTTATACATCTTAATAAAAAGATGCATTTTATAGGAAACAAATTTTAGGAGAAGAAAATTTTGTGGCTAATTGATAATAGTCAGCAGAATGACAGTTAAATATAAAGCATATAAATCCATATGCACTTACACTTGTGTGTGGTATGTGCATGCATGAGTAGTTCATTGTTGTGTGTGTTCTTGAAAATATGCCCAAAACACAGCAGTTTTACCTTATGTTGAAATCCAGTGTGGATCAGAAAGTACCATTATATCTAGTGCTTTCTTAGGTTAGGTTAGATTATTTAATTACGGCAAAGCCTCGAGGGCTATCTGCCTAAGGGGAGGGATGCCTTCATGGAAGACTTTCTAAGGGAAACTGTTTCATATACACATTACATATGGGGAAAACCACGAAAACACCCATGCAGCCAGCCCGTTCGCGGGATTTGACCTCGAACCAAACTACCAGTGTTCAGCGACTTTACCGCTCGGCCGCTGGTGGGCCCTAGTGCTTTCTTAAAAATCATTTATAGTAACTGTATTTACAGGAAGGTATGTTAGGAGTTTATAGTACTTTAATGAAAGTTATACAGCTAAATAAGTTTTAAATATATATATATTTTTCTTGTAGGATATTGGCAGAAAGAAGAGTGTTTTGCTTGTTGTCTCACTTACTGGAATTAAAGTGTGCAGTTTGGATGGAAAAGTAATTATTTTCTTCTTTTAAGTAAATTTCTTAGTTGTAAAGAGGCTGTTCACACATTTTTTAGACGATGTATATTGTATTCACAAAACTAAATTACATAAAATTCTTGTGTTTTAAATGTTCTATTTGATATCCCTTATTCTGAACTATCTTTCAACACTGCAATTTCCAGGAAAATAATGCCTTTTGAAGTGGCAGAAGAGGTATTCTATTCCATTCCTCCCAAACAGCTTTCCAGAGTCCTGTTAGGGTTTTGGGACAACATTTGGATAATGCACTTTTTAAAATTCCGAAAGCACAAAAATCCATCGGGAGATTTAGTAGGGATATCAGTGAAGGGTATGGCCTTGATACCAGTTTTTTTGTTCCATTTCTTTTAGGAAATTGACAGTGAATTTTGATGTGTGACTGCTAGCTTTGTCCTGATGGAGTCTCACAGATTGATGGCACTGTGAGTAAAGCGATGGTATTTCATTCAGAAAAATTAGTGATAAAATATGTTCCTGATAGTATTTGGAGTTAATCTTGACATTTTTTTGCACTCTCTTTATTTTTAACTTGCCATTATAAGAAAAACCAGCAACAATCATGAATCCCTTAGAAAAACTTTCTTTCGATTCTTTGAACCATGTACTTACATTTTTTTTCCCTCCCCTTTTATGATAATAAATGGCTCTTTTTTTGTTACAATCATTTAAATACACCCATTCTTCATCTGTTGTGACTATTGTTTTCCATTTTTCGTTATAAGTGTTTCTCATAGAATTCTGCAGCGTGTCCTGCGTTGAGTGATATGCTTTGGAAGAAGACGATGCACATTGCATTTTTTCACTTTCTTAAGATTTAAATCAACTTTTATCATTTTGTTTACAGTGGGACACCGCAGCATTTTAATGATTTTGCAACTGTGTCCTTTGACTAGGGGGATTTTCTTTTAACATTAAACAAAACGTACCTTTGCAATAGTCGAAGATGTCCATTTTTTCCTTGGATACTTGTTTGGAATTTTTGTCCCGACAATTGAGGCTCCAATTTGGACGTTTTTTTTTTTCCTTTCTTGTTGATGATATTACCTATCGACGTTTTAGATATCACAAAACCATGACTCTCACATCCTTTTTTGGATAACGGAGTATGCATATTTCTCTTCGGAAAGAGCGTAAATGTAGCCTTCGAACCACTGCTTAGTTAAATTCGCCATTTTGAATAAAAACAAAACTTTCAAGCCACAGATGATAATTTTGACTTTTAAAAACATAGTACAATTGCAATTACTTCTTTTGCAGCAAACGATTTTTTATTACCGCTTACCAAAATCGTCTAAAAAATGTGTGAACAGCCTCTGTATGCATTCAAAGAATGTGAAAATTTAAATTTGTAGCAATACATGTATGCCTATGTTATGTAGTTGCATTTTCTCTGACTAGCTCTAGCACTTAGCAGATGTAAGTTTATGAATTATCTACTGATATTTTGGGCAACATGCATTTTTAGTTGAACTGGATATTGTGATTTTTTTCATTTCACACTTTTACCTTTCTTTTAGCATTAAATTTGCTGCTGCTGCATTAAAACTGAAATTTTTGTAAATGTACTGTATGCTGACTGATTTCCAAGCGATAATTTCTATGATGTCTATGAAACTTGAAGAATGCAGTTAAGAAAACCTTAAATGAAAAAAAAGTAGAGAACTTAGGAAAAGCTAGAAGAAGTGAGCTGTTGTGAAAGGGGGAAAAAGTGGTGAAACAGTTTTAGCTTGTAATTTAATTCTTGTGAGGCAGGTTTTTTTGAAGGTGACAAGAAAATGGCTTTATTATAAACTAAAAGATCGATTTTCTACTGAGGAGCATGGAGTACATAAAGATGAACCACAGTCTTTTTGCCGTTAGATTTAAAAATGAATTACATGTATATAAACAGCAAAAGAAGGCCTTCAGATTCAGTTCATGGACATTTTATATAAGAATCATTTGCAGTTGTAAATGGCAGTAAATACAAAACCAAATTAGATTTGCTGGATTCTGTAAGGAAAATGATTTCAAATGAATGTTTTATAACCAAAATTTGTATTAGGATATTATTTACGTATTATCTGGAATATGTCAAGCAGTGCCATACATGGAAGAGCCATTGAACCAAAATGGGATTGATTTATCCAGTTTGCTAATTTTCTAAAACAGGGCTTAAATAAGCTTTTTATGTGGCCTGTACTAATTTTTTGCTTGTGGTTAAAGTGACCAGACCTTTTGGATTGTCTTGTATTTTTTTGCAATATCCCGTTTGAGAATATATTCCAGATTCCATAAATATTCCTGGATTTTGTAAATAATCAGCATAAATGATTTTAGTGCCATTCCATGGAGATATATTTGTGGGATTAGAAATGCACTCGATAATCAATAATTTATATGTTCTAAGTGTACATATTATATATAGAATATTCACAAAGAGTGGTTTTTGAAATTACGGTTTGAGTTTTTTATTTCAACTTCATTTAGTACTTGTCAAAATTTACAAAGAAATTAAATTATTTGCACTGATTTTAAATGGTTAACTTTTAAAAAATACTATAGAATGAAAAAATATGCAGACTAAAAAGCTGAAATTAAAAAAAAAAAAAAATCGTTTAAAACATTAAAACATTCATTAAAATAAATAATACTGTATTTAGGAAGACATAAACAGTTATAAAATTGAAAATTTATTCGAGTATAAAGCTGATATTTAACTAAAGGTAGGAAGGTTTTTTTTTTTTTTTTTGTCTTTCCATTTTCAGAACAATTGCTTGTTGATTTTAACATATTTATTTGAAACAGTTATTGCTTTCAAACTTATAACATTAATAATTAATGTTTGTTATCTAGGACCAAATGCAGCAACAATCCATGTATATTGATAATAAATTAATGAATCCTTTCATGATACTACCTCTAAAAGCAATTAGCATCCTTGGAAGCACACATAATTTTAAGCACTAAACATTACCAATTGTCATATTCTTTGAGGCATCCATTTTCTTCTACAGCCAAGATTTGTTAGTTGTGTCTGAGAAGTTTCAGTGCAATATGTGGGCAGTTAGCAGAGTTCTCCAAAATTGTGTAGTCTTATTTGGTGTCGGAAAAATCTAGTCATTTCACTTTAGGAAAGTTTACAGAGAGAAAAATGATAATAATAATCAGGAAATTTAAGAGGCCTGTAGTACCCTAGGCCCTGTGGCTCTGTACCTGCCTAGTTATGGCTTTACATTGTGAACCTCATGATCTGTATGCAAATATGTTTTAGAAGTTGCTGTTTATTAGTTATTTTCCTGTTATTTGAAAGTGGGAATCATAAACTGCCTGGAACTTAGTAAAAAATGGACTGGAACACAGACTCACAGCAGTTTTTGTTCTGTGTGTATAAAAGGAACAATGGTTTAACGTTTACTAGAGAAAAAAAGGTTTGAAATTATATTGAGACCTTTTATTTAATAATTGATTCAGAGTGTAACCTTTTGTGTTTGTAGTTTAATTGTTGCAGATCTTGGCTTTTAAAAGTGGATAGTACTTTGGCATATAGTGTTAGCAAATCTGTCAGTATGATTTCTGTAAAAAAACTGGGTATAATTGGGAATGGGAAAAGAAACATTTAACTTTGTATGCCAGTTGGCACAACACTGTTAATATTGAGTTTTTAAAAGATCAAGTGAAATCAGAAACCAGCAAGTTTTCATTATTGATGTAAAAACACTAAAAAAAATTCATTTTCAATCAGCGGATTGAATGCTGTTAATTGCAATTTGTATTCAGATTAATTTATTATAAAATTAAACAGAACTATGACTTAACAGTAACATAGCTGAGTGCAATTTAAATTTAGATAATTATTTACAATTAAAGTTCAGTTTTAGCTTGCTCAGTAAATAAAATCTTAGAGGTGGCTTTTCTGCTTACAAAACTTTTGTCTTAGCCAGATAACTGGAAAAAATTCAGTAGTTACAGAGATGATTTAATCCACTGTGGTTTGAATCTAGTAGTCTCTGTCATAGTTCAAGCAGTGTTTAGATATAATGGTAACCAAGGTTATGGATAAGTAGAACTGTACTACTCAAATAACTATCCCACTATGACTTGCACCAGTTTTTAAGTTTCATAGAACTTCTTTGTTATTTATATAACTTGTATTTCTTGAAGGAAAACACTTATGGAAATTGAGAGGCTATAGGACACTTTGGAATTAAGATAAAACTGTTAGCACAACTAAAGTAAACCTTAAAAGCTTCCTGAGATTTGAATATTATTATAGAGATACTTTAGGAAATGGGTTTTTTTTTCATTATATCATTTTCTTTCTTCTGTAATGTTATTAATTTAAATTAGGGTCTCCAAAGTTAAATTCTGTAAATTTGCTTATGGTAATAAAATTATTGGAAGTATTTGAATAATTTAAGAGTTTTGGGCAATGAGCTGACTGCTTCAGAAAGTAAAGAAACAAAAACATCACATCAAGTTGAGTAAAATTGAGCTAATCAGGTATGGTAAATGGTTTCGTTTGAAAGGGGATTTTTGTATGTGTGACATGCAGGATTAATATTTATTTTTATCTATTACATTTTATATGGGTAACAGATCATGGAGTTGCTCATGAAAATTAGAGAATGTTGTTAGAGAAACAAAAATATTTCATGAACTTAAGCAGACTAAAATAGAGACAATCAGATATGGTAAATGCTTTCAAGAAAAAGGCAATTTTTTTATATGCAAGGTTAGTATATATGTTTATTTTAAGGCATAGAATATATGCAACAGTCATTATGAGATAGTTCATGAAAAATTACAGAATGTTGGATACATTAGTAAGATTTTCTCTTTGATTTGGGGTGTAATTTTATTTTTATTAAACAGGAATGTTAAGCAAAGTAAAATTGAGCCAGTAAAGTATAGTAAGATTTCAGTGCAAAGGGAATCTTGTATGTATGATACAGAAGGTTTATATTTGTATTTATTTAAATTCATCTTATACACGTGACTGTCGCTATGAGACAGCTAATGAAATTAACAGAATGCTAGGGCTCTGTATAACATTCTCTTACAATGGTGGATATGATAGCATTATCTAAGGAGTAATTTTGTTTTTGTACAGAATTTCAATGAGGTCATCACAGCATCTAATTTATATAAAGGAAAATGCTGGAACAATTATAGTAAAGGGCAATTAGGATACTTAAGGATGGAAGAAACTTTATTTAAAAAGAATGTAGAGAGAGAATGTTATTAGCTTCACTGTAAGCTTTAGTCTGTCCAGTTATAAACTAATAGATGTAGTACTAGAAGCAATTTAATTTATTAAAAATTACAATTTAATTTAATTATGCTAATAAAACAGAAATTGTAATATTCACCAATGGGGTCATAACAGGATGGCAAGGAGTTACAAGCTGAAAATAACATAAGAATCCTAATTAATGAATAAAGTATTGTGCCATACAAGTTGATGGATAAATGGAATGGACCAGTAAGTCTGATACACCTTTCCACAAGATATTGTAAAACCTCTTTTTAAGTTTGGAATTTGAGCAGATACTGCAGGATGGCCTTTGAATAGGAAAGATCAACAGTTGGTTTGATAAATGAATTAGTGTTGAGATTCTGCTTATGGCCTTTTTGTATTTATAATTAAATTTGTCTTTTCTGATTAACTTGTTGTATATAATTTTATTATTGCAACCTGTTGTAAGTCTATGAATTTTTCAACAGTGAAATCAAAAATACATATTCGTACTATGTTTGTTTCTTCTGCACATTAATTAATTACGGACAGAATATTCAGCAAATATGCAGAAAAGTAGAACAAAGGTTAAGCAAAATATATATAAATTGTTGCTGCTATCAATTAAAATGTTTAGTTTCAGTAACACAATAATATTTCATATAAAAATAATTAACTGAAATATTTTAGTAATGTAATTCACAGAATGTTACAGAAATATTTTTCTCTCAGTGCATCTATGTTAGATTGCTAGTCAATGAACTGTGTTGTCAGTTCATTTTTGTTTATTATAGAATTGATGTCGGTTGCAGGTAGTAGCTGCTAATGTTATGCAATACTTTGTTTATGGGCTAATATTTTTAATGTTCTGTGTTAAATATAATTACAGTGCTAAAGTTTTATAATTATAATATAACATTAAACTGAAACATCAGTTTTATAGAAAAACTTAAGCAAATTTTTATGAATCTAGTTTAGAAAGTATATTTCTAAACAAAGTAAATTAAAATGTATGAAAGAGTAATTTTCTTTATGTAATGCTTTCTGGCTAAAAGTATTTGCATTTTGGTGAAAACTATTATACTGCAGTGTTCAGTCAGTTTTGCTTAGTATTGTTCTTTTTGCTTTGCAAGGTGCTTTAGAAAAGGCATTTAATAATTTTCATGATCCTTTTCCCTATGTTTTAAAGTAACTTTAAAATATTCTTTTCCTGGATGATGATTGACATTAATGTGAAAATGTAATTTTACTTTTCTTTTGTAAGCAATGTTTATCAATGAATCAGCAGTAATATATATTATGAAGTATTTTTTTTAAATTGTATTATAAATTAAAGATCAACTTAAACAAAACTGCATATTTTTATTTTATTGATTTAAATTTAATCCCTGCTTATTGAATTAACTTCATGGCTGTAGTAGTTGTCTTATCTATTTAGTTCAAGTATAAGTTTTTAAGATAAATAAATAGATAGGATTATTGAGCAATTAATTTTTTATACTAACTGAGCATATATGAATTTTTTTGAAGTTGTTCATATTTTAAAATTAAATTCCTCTTTTCCATATTATTATTTTTCTTGTTACATGTCTGTGCTGTAGGTATTGTTTAAAAGTAAGTCCTTTCCTTTTTTGAATTATTTATGTATTTATGTGGCTTTATCAAAAATTCATATATTATAGGATTTCATAGCTTATGAAGCTATCCATTTTCTTTCCAACTTTTTTGGTTTTGATCAGAAAAATCCTCATTTTCTAAAAAGGAATGATATGATTCATATAATACAAGCTCTTTAAACAGTATTATAACTCTTCAAATACTGCTAATGCTGCAGATATTATTTTGGTGGCATAATATATGATATCTAAATGATAAGTGAAACTTTGCAAGTATGTTTGATAAGTTAAACCAAGGATTATGATATTAAATTAATACTATAAAGTAAACAAATATAAGAGGAATTTTGCCTATTAAAATTTATTAAGTTATATTGAAAAATCTAATGGTATAGTTTTCAATATAAGATTTCAAGTAAGTAGTGTTCAGAAATACTGTGTTCCAATTGGAAAAATTTTATTTATGCCTTTCATAACGTTAGAAGAGCTGGACATTTCATTCACTTTTCATAGAAGTGTAAGAATCTGTAGTCAAATACGAGACATGGCAAACTGAATTAAGCCGATAATTATAATTTGATATTTTTGTCCGAATTTGGATAAATTAAAAGAAACTGAAATTGTTTTAAAACTTATAATTTGAGTTGAAACTAAAACCTATGTTATTCTCTTTTTGAATATCTTTCATGAGTTTTCAGTATGTAGGATAGTGCCACGTAATGCAGTTGAAACTTTTCATAATGACCCCCTGATGTCATTTTTATGAAAACTGGAAAAGGGTTAAGTGTATTTTCTTTAGTTTATTTTATACTGGTAACAAAATGTTTACAGTAGTGATAAATGTTCACTATTTATCTATTATTAACACTAAATGATAAATATTCACTATAGAAGACATTTTATGGTGAGTGTTAATTGTGTATACAAAGTAACTGAAAGCCATCAATACTTAAATGACATAAATTTATGTTTGAAATTGCTGTTTTATAACTAGATAACTATTTAAGTCACAGCCGTTTTGTGTTAGCTAACTGGCAAAAAGCTGGTTTAGTCAAATGCAGGATTTTTATGTTAATTCCTATTATTATTTTTAATATGACAGAGAGTGAAGTTATATTTCTGAAGTACAATATAGCATTTTTTACTCATTTCATTGACTGTTTACCTCTAAAAAAATTCAGGTTTTCTTGAAGTTAAATTTAAATTGTGATAAAATTTATTTTTGTAAGTTACAATCACTTCTGACTAAATCAAGAAAGATTGTGTATGATAAATAGTGTAAATATATTTTAATGAAGTAAGGATGTTCAACATTTGTGTATTAGTCACTTTATTAAAAAGTATGCATATGTTTAATGAGATGAAATTAACTTTCTGAAGATTTATGGATATATTGGACTTTATTTTAGAGTGTTCTCATGGCACATGCGCTTCGCCGAATATCATTTGCAACTTGTGACCCTGAGCACTGCCAGTTTTCATTTCTGGCCCGTGAACCAAATGGACACTTCAGCCTTCAGTATTGTCATTCATTTATAGCTGAAGATTCCAAAACAGTAAGCTGTATTTTTTAAAAATTATAATTTTTTGCTATTTTTTTCCATTTATATTTTACACTTTGTAAAAACATGTTTGAGAGAAATTCTAATTTTTATTTTTTGCATTATTTTAAACCTGCTATTATAATTTATATTAGGGGGAAAATGTATTATTCTGGAGTAATAATGTTTAAAATTCTTTAATAGTAATTAATTCTGTTCCAGATTATTCTGAAAAATCCCTTTTTTTTAATCTGAAAGAAAGGAAAATCTTTTAGAATCTATAAATTTTTATGTTCTGCCCAAGAGGAAAAAACTATGAACATTTTTTCTTTTATTCTTCAAAAATTTTAATATTGAATTAAACTATAATAAAAATTTAATTAGTATTTTAAATTTGAAAAATTAGTGTCATTTAAAAAATTTCCTTGATTTGGGGGGGGGGGTGCACCGAATGTCTGACATAAAATGGTGTATAAATTCTTAGCAAAACAGTATGAAAATGTGTTATTGCAAAAAGTAAAAGGTTTGAGATACTTCAATATTCACTCTTTTTTTTCTTCTGCAAATATAGTAGATATTTTTGCGTTTAGATGCAAAAGTTGCATGTTTCCATATTTCAACTTTGCTATAGTAGAGGTTTGAGTTTTACTAAAAGGGATCATCTAATTTCATGAGACTTTAGGAGACTTCTATAAAGACGAATTCAAGATGAATCCGTCTTTATAGAAGTCAAAATTGTTCTATGCAAGTATGTTGATTTGATCTTTAAGATGGTGCAAAAGATATTTAACATTTTCTCTGAAGAAAAGATGTAAAAAAGAACAAATTAATGAGCTAACGTTTATAAAAACACACTGACAGTGTGCACTCGGTATGAAATTATTAACTAAGAAGAAGTCTCTTTAAAGAAGCTTTGGTTCAAGAGATTGTTTCAAATGAGTATATAGTTTTATTTCAAATATTATTATGTGCTTATATCCTGCATTTGTCCAGTTGATACTATCACTGTGCTATTTATAAATTAAACATATGTGCATAAAAATCTTTTTTTTATTTAACATTTATTAACTCATTGCTGAAAATTACCAATGAAGTTGTAGAGTCATTAGGTTAATTGGAAGCAGAAAAGATGAAAAATATGCAACCACCTTCGCCGGGAATCGAACCACGGACCTCTGGAATACCAGTTCAGCATGCTGAACCACTACACCACGAAGGCACCTAGGAAAGTGGGAGAAATACCTTATAAAGTTAATAAATAATTTAAATTTTGTCACAAAATTTACATGTAGTATCTTCAAACATTCATCACTAAAACTTCATCTTGCAAAATAGGACATTAAGAATGATATCGGTAATTTCTTTATAATTAATCATAAAAAAGGGCAAGGCAGAGCAATAATTAAATTTTTAAAATCTTTTCTCTCTAGAGTTTTTGTAAGAACAATTTCGGGTAAGTATTTTCGAATTTCAATTTCTCTTCAATGAAATCTTCTCCACTATTATAAATTGGACAAAATGATTTATTTTCCACTTCAGTATTTCTAATTAAAGTTGGTCAGTTAACATTTCCTTGCATATCTTTATGCAGCATGTGTAACTAATTATAAAAAAAAAAAAAAAAAAAAAAAAAAAAAACAGAGGTAGAGTATAATCATTACTTATCGTCTTTTAAAATTTTGACCAGTTTTAGTAATTCATAGTATCCACATCATTCCAAATCCCGTTTACAAGCAGTAGTTTTTAAAAAATAAATGCCGAAATTTCAAACTGGACTGTAATAAGTTATATTTTGTCCCTGGAGTTTTATATTAATTGCACAAACACATCTGTTAAATGTGAGCTTCCCTTGCTATTTCATCTTCCCCTTTATTTTCCTGTTTATATTCTCTTTTAATTATATCATCAAGAATGTTACAGTTCGATGAAATCCTACCGCTTTCCTTGTTATTTCTTTTCCCATTCACACATTCGTGTTTTTTCTTTTATGTTTCACAGGGAAGAGATTATAGTTCAAATTATCTCTTCATTTAAAATGCACCATTATATACTCGTGCGCAAAGTACTCATGATTACCAGTATTGCGCAAGGATGTCTAAAATTCACGTTGTGTTATCGAACTGGAAATAAGTTTAATATGTGGTATAGTCCCCTTATCACAGCCAGGCAGTTTGTGCAGCATGACAAAACTGGCAGTTCATGAGTCTCTGTGACATTAGTCCCACTCCTGCCGGAAGGCAGTTTTCAACATTGGGATGGGCTTCGGAGAGGGAGGGCGAGATGAAATTGCCCTCCCAAGATCGTCTTAGAATACTGTACAGGCTTAAGGTCAGGAGATCTGGCTGACTGGGATAGGAGGAGGAGCTGCGAATAACCTCACTTTCCAAGGAATTGTCGATGAGCTTGAGCCCTATGTGGATGAGCATTGTCTTCCATTAACAGGAACCCAGGACCAACTGACTTTGAAAATTCGAACACAGGGCTGTAAGATATCCTCGCTATACATCATAGCAGTCAGAGAGCCTTTGACAAACACATGCAGGGGTGTGTGTCCGTCCAACATACTGGCTACCCCAAACCATAACCCCTATACCACCATAATTATCCTTTTTCATCGATGAGGGGAGGGATGGTATCGTATTCCAGGCTTACTCCAGGTGCAAGTATGCCAAGAATCAGTGTCCAGACTGAATCTTGATTTATCTGCAAAAAGGCACACTGCTCTACTGAACTCTGGTGTAAGGTGCATGTTGTCTGCACTATGCTAAACATGTTGTCTTTTGTGCTGCAGTGAGGGAGATGCAAACAGCTTGCCTTCTGGCATACAGCTCTGTCTCATGAATCTTTCAGATAGAATTATGATCTTAGCTAGAATCGATCAGGGATTGTCTCTCAGCTAGAATTATGATTTATCTCAAAAACTAGAAGTACCAGAGCCGGGCTTCTGACGGCTTTATCGCAGTTTAAGCTCTGTGTACAAACATACATTCATGCAATTTTATTAATATTCCCAAAGGCAGTTATCCTTAACTGCGGCTATTTTTGTCAACTGCTGAGCTATCATCTCTATGTTTTACTATTTTTGTTACGCGGCTGTCGGCTGTCAGTAGTAGTATTGCATTCAAATAATATCATTCCTTATTAGTATTGAAAGCAAGTAAATTATGTTTTTATAACTGGAGTAAGTACTGAATTACGAAACATTTTAAATCTTATGAGTGTGTAAAACCTAAGATTCTGCTTCTGTTTATTTTTTCATTTACTTAAAATATGCTCCATATGATTTACTTAAATAAAACTTGTTATAAAAAACAATGCATTTTTTAGGTTGGAAAATGGGTTTTATTTATTCTGTTGTTGCGATTTTAATATAGCAGCACTCCCTTAAAATAAGTGAGCAGTTTTTAAATTGCTAGGTCTCTAAGAGATGGCGCCAGTTATAGCTCTTTCTCAAAGCTGCAGTTCCTGTGCATATTTATAACGTACGCATGGCGATTAGCTTTTCGCGTTTATGCGAATGTCTGAGCCTGTTGTGCCATTTTGTATATTGGTATATTGTTTCTGTCATGTTTATCAGTATTTTAAAATAATAAAGTCTTCGTTAGACGGATTTACGGTATGACATATCCGAGAAAAAATGGCTTTTGTTGGAGGTATAATTATTAAGTACAACGTAGTTCTGCTATTTTGCTGGATGTGTAACTGCGATTGGAGAGTTTTAGACAATGTTCAAAGCATAATATGAACAGTATTAAATTCTTTTGTGTCAAAAATGCGTTTGAAATGAAACATGAAAAAAATTTTCATGACCTTTCTTTTAATAACAGATTTCCAAAATTAGTGTCAAAATGCGTTTGAAATGAAACAATTTTTTTATGCGTTTCTTTTGACAATAATTTTTAAAAGTTAAAAATACTGTCAACTACGAAATTACTTAATTTTTTTTGGGGGGAGGGAAGGGTTTCGTCTTTCTTCTTGGTGAAACACGAAATTGCTTCTAACTTGACAGTAATCTTTATTTATTTATTTTTTTGTCTCATCTGCAGTTTCCTGTGAAATGAAGATCTTCAGGAAGCGATGCAATTTTTGTTAGTTTAAACATAAAGATTATGCAAAATTGGTAGTAGAAATGTTTCTAAAACATTATGCAGTATGTTGGAAGAAAAGCACATAAATTATTTTGAAAGTTGATCCCGAAGTTAAAATTTATCTCATTTCCATATAATTTTAGACTATTTTTTTCGTACATCATTACATATACGTTTTTAGGAGGGATTAATTTCTGAATATGAAAATGCCGGAGCTTAAGGACAGTTGTCGGAAATGGTGAAAATATAGTTAAATAAAATCAAATCAAGAAGTATATAAAAGTTAAATTTAATTAAAATTAAAAAATAAATAAAGTAGTAATATAAATAAACTGGAGGAGAAACCATAAATAATAAATTGAATAAAGAAAAATGTAACCATAAATTTTAAAAATAAATAGATTTGAGAAATAATAATTAGTAAGGAATCAGTAATTTAACTGCTTTTCTTTCCATTCACGCCCATAATTCAATATTTTATGAAAAATATTTGCTTCAGGTTTTTTTTTAAATAAAGTATTCTATGTGAAGGGTCCACGCGGGCCTATCGTAATCGCTGAACACTGGTAGTTCGGTCCGAGTTCGAATCCCGCTAATGGCTGTCGCATGGCTTTTTCGTGGTTTTCCCCATGTGTAACGTGTATACGAGCCAGTTTCCCTTAAAAGGTCCTCCACGAAGGCATCCCTCCCCTTAGGCAGATAACCCCAGTGTGCTTTGCTATAATTAAATACACCACAACACCATCTATGTGGAGAATTTCACTAGAGGAACAGGAAATTAGTCCCGAAATTTAATTCTAAAATTCAGATACTGATATCGGTAGGCAGATAACTCTTCTGCGCTTTGCTGTATTCAATAATCTAACTAATGCTGATATCAATTTTCGCATTATATATAACATGAACAAGCGAATTTGATGCTAAAGC